GCGGGAACATTTCGATCGCCACATTTACCTCGGCGTCGATGTCTGCTCGTGGGATCCCTTTGATGGCAGCAAATATCCTCAGGTGCTCCTCCACCGTGAGCACATCAAAGATGATGTTGAACTGAGGGCAGATTCCCACCAGCTGCTTCATTTCGGACGCGTCGGCAATCTCTGCCACGGGCGAGCCGTAGATGGTGGCCGTGCCGTTCGTCGGCGGGCAGATCCCGCACAGGATGTTCATGAGGGTGGACTTTCCAGCCCCGCTGTGTCCCAGCAGAGCTGTAATCTGTCCCTCATAGATGTCAAAGGTCAAACCTGAGAAGGAGAGGCAAAGAAACAGGAGGAGATACGGGATGTTATTTCAGTCCGTTGTAGGAATGTGGAAAAATATCTAATCTAACCATGTAAATCAGGCTTTCTGCTTATTACTGAGGTTGGATCTTCAGCACCTTCACATGAGTCATGCTGTAACCTTGAACAACATGTATAATCATAGAAAAGCACTCACCCCTCAGAGCCTCCACCACGTTGTCCTTTTCTTTGTACACTTTGCGGATGTTATTGATGCTGTTGGAAACAAAACAAGCGAGCAATGAAGAAACAGTGAAACTGAAAGGAGAGAAGCGTAAACACAGCAGCAGAGTCAGCTGAAGAGCAGCTCTCAGGTTACAGGCTGGACCTGCAGGCTCTCCTCAGCTGATGCTACAGCTGAGCCTAACGCTGATCTACCCGAAGCTCTCAGAGCCTCCATCTCTCAGTCCTCTGAATCCATACTTTTAGTAAAGGTACTCTGTGAGCACTGACATAAGAATAAAATGAAATACTGGTAAGTTCAGGCTTTTACCGGATGGCTTCTTTCCCTCTGAACTCGGGAGAAACCGGCTCGATAGACTCGTCCCCACCAGGAGCGCCGTTCAGCTCGGTGTCATACACCGAGCTCACCTCAACATAGCGCTTTCTGCGTTTGGACCAATAGGACGGCTTCAGGAAGTAAATCAAGGACCTCCGCATTCCAAACTCACCTGCGTATCAGAAAATCATCATGAAAATAAAATGAAAACACAAAACAAAACAAACAGAACTGCTAACCCAATCAGCTTCGACCAGCAGCGGGGCAATTTAATGCTGCACGATCAATGTGGTGGAACGCTAATTGAAGTACAGATGGATCTGCAGAGCAGTGCTGCACACACTCAGTGGGTGAAAAGGGAAACATCTGACAGTTTATTTCCCACTCTGCACACCGCTGGAGGGCTTTTCAAACTTGCTGTGGGATCTCAGTTTGTTCTTCTCCTCAATGCCCAGAAGCCTCTACTGATCTGTAGCGCTATTGGAGAACATCAAGACATGTTGAGGAGGTCATTTTAACCATTTAAATCAGCTGTGTCGGATCAAGGACACGAGGCCTGGAGTTCCCCAATCCTGAACTAAAGAGAAAATTCAAATGGTTCCTGAAAATTTTACATTTTTGGCTAATTTTACAACCAAAATAATTCCAGGAGGGCCTTATGACTAGGGCTGGGTATCGTCACTGATTTCTAGAATCG